TACCGTATTTTTCGCTCCATAAGACGCACTTTTTTCCCCCCAAAAGGAGGGGGAAAATGTGCCTGCGTCTTATGGAGCGAATCCCGACGCCCGAGACATGCAGTTTCGGGCGCCGGGCGAGTAGTAGGGGCCACTGCTTGTTTAATACAAGTGATCTAATGAGATCACTCGTATTAAAGCCGAGCAGTGGTGGCGGCGATCACGTTCAGCAGTAGGAGCCACTGCTCGTTCAATACGAGTGATCTAATGAGATCACTTGTATTAAAACCGAGCAGCGGCGACGATCGAGATCACCATAGAGCAGACGAAGAACAGACTTTCTTCGTCTGCTCTGTGTGATCACTGAGACCGTGGCGCTGTAATCACAGCGCCACCTGTCTCAGCGGTCATAGAAGCTGTGGCAGAAGCTACAGTCTGTCGAGTGCTCCATAAGGCGCGCCGGACCTCCCTGCGTCCTATGGTCCGGTGCGTCTAATGGACCGCAAAATACGGTATACCTTTTTTTGCAATACTTGGAAACGTATCTGCCTGTTTGCAGTCTTTAGAATGTACATTCTCGGCACACCTTGGTGCTGGAATGATCTAACTCCAGTGCACATGGCATGGCAGTTAGATGATTCTAGCCTAGCCAATCAAGATGCCTGATTATCCCAAACCTGGAAGTACATAGGGAGATGAGTTTACTTCCACTTTAAAGTGTATGTATAGAATCCCCCAAAACTTTTAGTTTTGGGTAGTGTAGGGAAGGATTAAAACCCATGTCTTTGTCCCATTGCAGTGATTTCCTTTAATTTTCTGTCCTAGAAGTGGAAGTGACAGGAAAGCTACAAAAAATAGGGAGAATTACCTTTTCAGTTCTGACATTTCAGCACTAACCCTCTGCACATTGCTCTACATATTACATACTCCTAGCGAACTTTTGCATTAACAAAAAGAGATTCTCAGTTCACATATATTGCAATATAGATGTCTATCTGATCACATGTCTATGCTCTAATCGAAAATATGATATAAAATAAATATATATAGACACACACACACACGTATTTAGGTTTCGTGCTGCCCTAGGCAAGACGAAAATCGCGCACCCACCCATCTAGATTTGTCCCACCCCTTCAAGACATTTTGCGTAACCTGTCAAGACAGGTTGCTCTATTAGGCCTCATTCACACAGGTTAGAGTTGGCCCGTACAGATCCGTGCGGCGTGCACGACCGTATTGGGCCGCTCCCAGGAGGGATAGGCAGCAGCCTGTTCTCTATGGGAGGATGCGCCCCGTACGCTCACCCGAACTGCACATCCGTGCGGGTGTCAGTACTTGTATGCAGCACCTGTTCTTCCTGGGAACGGCCCGATACGACCGTGAACGCCACATGGATCTGTACAGGCCGACTCTAAGCAGTGTGAATGAGGCCTTAGTGTTGCAGGGAAGCCTGGGTCTCTGGTGGGCTCTGCAGGATCTCAGGCTGAGACTGCCAAAGACCCTGCAAATTCCACTATAGGCCTTGCACAGCCCACCTGAGTCCCAACAAACACCACCAGAGCCCACCATAGACCTTGCACAAAGACTGTCAGGTGAGCTGTGCAGGGTCCCTTTCCCTGCAGACGTGCTGCTCCTCTTACCTGCAGCTTCCCAGCCTCTTCCTCCAGCCGCCGTAGCATCTTCCTTGAGCCGTCCGTAGCCTCCGTCAGCTGGGGCCGCGTCACCCTCAGTCCCATCAGCCCTGTGTCTTCTCTGCTCCCTGCCTAGACCCGACACATACAGTCGCTGATGCTCCTTCTTGGAACCGCCCGCAGCCTCCGCAGGCCAGACCGCGTCTCCCTTGGCCCCGGCCACGCCTCCTCTTACACCCGGCAGCTCGCTGCCAGGCCCTACCAGCAGCCTGATTTTTTTGCGCCCATCGCCAGCTTTCCTCTTTGCAGGGGGCTGAAAAATGCCGCCCCCCCCCCCCCTGCAAAGTGCCGCTCCAGGCAAACGTCTTGTTTGCCTCGCGGTAAATACGCCCCTGTGTATATATCATATGAGGTGCTAAAGGTGTGACTATATGTTAACACTGACATTTCTGCACTAGCCCTCTGCACGCTGTTATATACTTTTACATATTTCTTGCAAACTTTTGCATAAAAACAGGGATTCTTGGTTCGCATATATTGCAATACATTTCCCAGCTGGTCAGTTGCATCAAAGGGATCCCTTTCTGGCCAGTCCTTAATCCACTGCACAATTTAACCTAACCACTTCTTCTGGTGACAACCAGTGGGGGTACAGACGCCAATAAAAACCTGACAGAGGTCTAATCCTTCACTATTCTTTTCAAAACTAAAGAAAAAAAAAATAGGGACACTTTGACAATTGCTTGGTCTTCTTGTCATGCTGAAGACTATCACGTGTATGAATTCAATATGTATTACTGTATATAAAAAAGAAATTTGTTGTAAATATTAACACTTGCCAGGATTGTCTCATAACATTCACTGACTAATCTGGCAATAACTGTAGTAGCCCACAGCAGGCAAGAACAATGCAGTATATTATAATCAGACCAGAGTTCAGATGACTTGATTGTTTGCTGTGGGTTATACATACATTACAAATGAAAATGCAATAGGCCTGATGGCTCATATTTAACTAAATAAAACTAAATCTTGTTCCAATGGGCCCTCCTTACTCTTGAGATGAACAGAAATAGACACAGCTGGCTGCTGCATTGCACTGTATTATAATTGTCCTATTTTTATGTACAACTCCTATAAGAATGTTTCTATGTAACATACCACCCTACAGCTGATTGTTTCAGTCCTCCTACTCTCGTAACACACTCTGGTTACATTCTTTAATAAAAATGTTTTAACCTTTCTTTTATGTTTTTCTAGCGAGTATTAATGTAATGTCATCTTTCCCAAAGGTGGTCACCATCGCTTTACGGTGTCCTAGTGGGCGTGTTTATAAAAGACGGTTTTACAAGGCTTACAGTTCTCTTGTAAGTATTGTGAGAAACCTCGGATACATATCCCATTTGTTTCCGGTGCCTAACGCTGACTAAAGTAGTGGTGCACAACAGCAGGCTCCCAGCTATACCATTACATAGGAACCCCAAAAGGATGACCATTGTTTGATCCCTAAATAGCTGGCTACTTATTCTTTACAGATATAAGTCAAGGCAACTGGACTTGCTGTATTTTTCTTGAAGATGTTTCACTGGTCACCCAACCAGCTTTCTCAATTCAGAATCACTTGTACAAAAATTATCTGGGAATAAATATGGTGAATGTTGCTCCAATCCACATAATATGTTAGTCACAACCAGGTGTTGATTGCATTTGCATAATTGGAGTCTAGGAGGTGTTATCAACCTGCCCACCAGTGTTAGGGACCTTTCACACCTATACACACACATAACAATGACCTACAGTGCTGAGTACATTTGTGCTTGAATGTGGTTTTTATGTATGCATTATGCTAAGTGCGGAGAAATATTCAATAATAGAAATTTGACATAGAACAAAAGTGCTAAAAATGCACACATACCATTCATTTCAATAGGCCTGCTTAATGCATGTTGACCGCTAATTGTTCAACGTGTTGTGGGTGTACTGGTAGACCATAGACTCAATAATAGCAGGCAATGTCAAGCCGCAGTTTCTAAAACAAGCAAAATACTTTCTTGTATAAAAAGGAGCCTAGACTCCAGAGATAGAGACATAATCCTGGCCCTGTACAAAGCATTAGTAAGACCTCATCAATGCCCAAAACTGAACTGCATATTCCAGATGAGGTCTTACTAATGCTTTTGTACAAGGACAGGATTATGTCTCCGGAGTCTAGACCTATTTTGCTTTATTAACTGCAGCTTGGCCTTGCATGCTATTATTTAGTCTACCAGAAGTCCAAGATTCTTCACAGTTATGGACTCCCTGCCTGTTCTGGGGAAGCAGTGGGCTGCCATCTCTGGGTTTGCTAATCTTTACTCATCTTAGCAAATTTGTTTGGGTGCTCTAACACAGGACTGGCCTTTTTCTGTGAGTGCCTGCAACTCCTTTTAGCTACAGTAAAGGCTGTGACACACTGCACACGAAGCAGAGCGGAGCGGTGGCACGCTGCCTTCGCGAGCAGTGTGTCATGTAATTTTCTCCACGGCATGTCAGCTTGCAAAAGCTTGCATAGCTGAGCGGGCCGAGATGAAAAAAAATTAATCTTCAGCCAATTGGCTCGCGCGTATAAACCCACGTCAGGATGCGACGTCTGGCCACTTGTTACGCACAAGCCAATTGGCTGAAGGTGCAGTCAATCATCTGCCTGCACTCAGCTCACACACTGCACGCAAAGCTCCGTGCCGGACAGCTTTGCTTCACTCTGCATGCAGTGTGTCACGGGACTCACGCAGCTTCCTACCTGATCATCCTCACCCTTCACATCAGCCCCATTAACTGCCTGCTCAGTGAGCAGAGCACTCTTCTCAAAGTTAAGTCTCAGTCTGATGCATATCACTCTTCCAGATCTAATATGAGCTTCAGAATGGCAACCTGCTCACATCAGTCACAGCAGTATTCATCCTGGAGCTGCTCCATTGTTGTATACATGTGGCTCAGGGACTGAGCGAGCCCTTCAACCATACTTGTATACATTATCCCAGTCACAATATTTACGGGAAGTATAAGGTGTTACTTACCGTTTGAAAACTCCTACGCTTAAACTCCACCAGCTACCTTGTTCACAAGCTTCTGAGCAAGCTCAATGTGAGTTGTGCAGTTGCTTCTATCACATCTGTGAACAATTAAGCACTCCCCTTGATTAGAGAACTGCAGAGCAGAAAAGGGCGCTGTTTAAAGTAACAGGGGAAAACAATTGTGTTTTAAAAACCAACATTCCCAAAAAAAGAAACGAGAAAACACTTGTTCCCAAAACACTGACTCAGCAGTCAAGGTATCCAATAATTCAACTCCCCTTAGCCCCAGCCACTTTGTTCCCAAGCCTCTGTAAGCAAAATGCCCTAAAGCATTCCATTTGTTACATGCATATTGAAATGGGTGACTGTTTTCAATAAAGACTGTTGGTTTGTCATTGGTCAAGCAGAAAATACATTCTTAACTTTTTGTTGTTGTGGTCCTTTGTGCAGTAGGTTAAGATACCCTCACACCAATAATATGACTCACACAACTTCCTTGATCACACTTGTTTCTGCCAGGAACAGGAACCATAATTAGTCAGCGGCCACTGCTTCAGTGACCTTGATGGATACATGCAACTATAGCAATACTGTGTGAGTGATGTGAATAAATCGGACTCGTTCCTGGAAAGTAACAATTCACAGCCAGAATAGAGCAGTTGAATTGGATAAAATAGTTGCATTCTTAGGTCTCCGAAGGCCTTGTGCACACCTATTGTGTTCACCCGCATTTAAGACACGTTTTTCAATTGAAGCAACATCAAAAAAAGTTTGCCCAAGGCCTTGCAAGTGTTGGTTTTTGCCACTGGAAATAGCTGGCACACGTGGCTGGTGATGGCAAAGCTGGTGGTGTGCAGGTGGTGGTAGCTGGAGCTGTTCTGCCGTCTCATGCTATCATTTCTCAGTGCTTTTTGTGATTGCAAAACCTCCAATGACTCTGCCCCAGCACCTGGAAAACGCAACGCAAGAGCACGCACTAACCTCTATAAGAGCGGTTTCAGCACTCCTTTACCACTTGCCGTCCGGAGCAATTTTTTACATTTGCACACACATTATAAAATCAGAATTTTTGGCTAGAAAAACAGCTTCAGACCCCCAAACAATTAGATTTTCTGAAAGCAGAGGCCCTGTAGAATAAAAATTATGCTAGTTGCAATTTTTTAAGTCACACGGTATTTGCACAAATGTTTATCAAACCGGTATTTTTAGGATACAATACATTAAAATGACATTTAGTGCCCAGAAACAGAATATAATTTTTAGGTAATGTATAAGAGCCTTAAAATTGTGTGCGTGTGTGAAACCCCAAAAAACTACAATAGCCAAAATTTCCCATAAACGACGCTTTAAACGCTTTTACGGCTCATCAGTTTATTGTTACCAGTGATTGATGGGCCTAGAATTATTGCTATCACTCTGACACTTGCGAAGATATGTACAGGTGAAACTCGAATCATTAGAATATCGTGCAAAAGTTAATTTATTTCACTAATGCAACTTAAAAGGTAAAACTAATATATGAGATAGACTCATTACATGCAAAGCAAGATAGTTCAAGTGCGTTACGCTGGCCTCCTAGACATGCATATACAATTGTCGTTTTGCATACACAGTAGCAGTTATTTTTCATGGTATAAATGTAAGAAACATTTTAGTGATATTGAGCTTTAAAATCATTTGCATAACAGACAATTTGCTATGGTTTTCTTTCTGTAGGTATTGCAGGACTGGATGATGAAAATTGGATACCACACTGCTTTTTATACAATTTGCACATCGCTTCCTAAATGTTACCTTGAACTGAGAAAAGACTTAACGCTGGAGAATATCGGCATAACAAACCATACAGTATTGAATGTTGAGGGAAAGGATATATTGTGATATTGTATGAACATAATACTGTTGTGTTTCCATTTGGGGTACAGGGAGCCCCACTGAATTTCGTTTTTTAATTCCAGACTACAGTAGACTATACAGCTGTAATATCTGCACACAACACTACAGCTGGGACCAATGGTAGGTTGATTGGATTTTCACCATTCAGTGGTCATTTTGGCACCTTTGCAAGTATTTGAAAACAGCACAGTATAAGCTGGCATTGCATAATACTGGTACTTCCTGGCCTGACCAATAGTATTGTATCGCTTTCTATGCTCAGGTCAGTAGAATGATGTAAGCTTTCAAAACATGTTCTGCACTAAGCATTATGCAAGGCTGGGTGTGAGAACACATTTATACATAGAAGGGATACAATGAAATACAAGTGTTTTCTCCTTGACACATATGAACAGTAATGGATGTTATAAAATATATTCTATAAATATATAAAGATCAGGGCTTAGGGGTGTTATTGGGGAAATGACACATTGCATTGACTGCTTGGTCAAATATGTGATTAAAAAAAAAAACTGATAAAGATATCAAATCTGGCTTTTCTTGCTACTCTGGAGGTGCTGGTCATCTTTTTGAAAGACATTGATTACTAATGTGCAAGAGCGCATGGCTCGTACATCCTGAGGGAGCTTTGGAGCAAGCTAATTTTGGGTGAGCTGATTGAAATGTTCCGTTAGATAATAGAATTATTTATGGTCAATACCATAAAGCAGTAGTAAAAAAAAAATGTTGGGGATGTCCTAATGTAGCCACTTAGATGAAACCTGTACTCAGTGAAATATGGAGGCCGCCACTGCTGACCTCTTCCTGAAAATGCCTGGTTACCCTGGGGCATTGCTAGACTCTACTGAGTGGTCCAGGTGTCCTGTGCAATAGTTGCCATCATCCCAAGTGTGATCCTTCAATATTATTTATTTTTACCACCACTATTAAAGGAGAACTATGGGGTTAGGGCTTTTCCCCATAGTTCTCCTTAGGGTAACGGGAGGACATAAACTTGCGTCCTCCCATCACCCAAAGCTCAGTATACTGCGAGCTACAGGTTGCGGTATACCGAGACGCTGCAGCCGGGACGGATCCCGACAATACTGTCTGGATCCACGCAGCTGCGTGAGTGACAGCTGGCTCTGCCTATCTAGAGCTATCAGCTGTACCCGCCCCCTCCCCTGTCCGTTCCGCCAGTCAGCGCTGGAGGATCGGACAGGGCAGGGGAGGCGGTTTCCCTGCAGGGAGCAGTGAGTGACAGTCACGGCTGTCTGCACGGATAGATCGAGAAGTGAGTGAGCGCCGGTATGTGTTCGCTCACTTCCCGATCTACTGAGCCGACCTGTGACAGTTTCATTGTAACAGGTCGGCTCAGATTATGAGGCTTAGTGAAAATCATTAGCCTCATAATTCTCCTTTAACTGCGGTTTCCCCCAAACAATTGTTTAAAATCATGTTAGGTAGATGATTCTAGAAATTTACATTTACCTAAAACCTCACAATGCATCTTTCTATTTCACTAAACAAAATGATTAAGCAAATCATATAGATTGTATGCTCATCATGCTTTCCAAAAACCAGTTTATCAACATTTTAATTGATTCATTTCTTTTTTTTTTTTAAGCAGTATCATACATTTGATATACAGTAATACCTTGGTTTACAAGTAACTTGGTTTGAGAGCGTTTTGCAAGACAAGCAAACATTTCTGAAAAAATGTTGCCTTGATATACAAGCAATGTCTTGCAATAAGAGCAAAATATTGTAGAAAAGCACCCGAATAAGGATGTAGCAGTGCGAGCGATGAGTCTGTTTTTTTTTTAAAATGTTTTTTTTATTGAGTTTCCAGTAAAGTATCAAACATCAAAGCATAACAAAGAATACAGAACATGCTCATGCCGTACTGCCATTAAAGAGATGCACGTAAGGACGAAGAAAAACCAAAACAAAAAGGACAATAAGAAATACTATCATTAGAAATGGTACATAGCAGGTCAGATTGCACAAATTGCGATATGATGGTACTGTTGTATGTTAGTGATGGTGAAACACCGGCCACAAAGGTACCGGTAATTGGTTTATTTTTCTTTATATTTTGTACAGTGTTATATTACAGTACAGTATTGTAATTATTTTTATATGAATATTTTTGGGTTGTGGAACGAATCATTTAAATTTCCATTATTTCCTATGGGGAAATTTACTTTGATATACAAGCGCTTTGGATTACACGCATGCTTCCGGAACGAATTATGCTTGTAAACCAAGGTATTACTGTATGTTTAGCCAGAAGGAATTAGAAACGGCTTCACCCACTTTAATCATGGCATACGAGAAACCCTTCAATAGATTATAATGCCCAGGGGTGCCCCAAGTCTTTTAGCAACCTAGAGACACCCTCTGTTGGAGCTACTGAGCTGAAATGAGCAAGTACACAAAAGCTTGCTTAAGAGTGACACAAAAAATAGTAAATGTATTTGACCAGCATTGGCCAGCCAATTAGCATTTCCAAAAGGACAGGTCCGCAATATGAACGTCCATATTCTGTTAGTTCAGGTTTCCTTTGTTGAACTACTATTGAAAATTTGTTTTATAAAAGAAATGATCAGATTAATGGAGATGCAACATGTTATCTGGTTTGAGAAAGAATAAACAGCGACATGTTAACAGGTTGGTGGTTGTGAATGTTAGACTACTCATATATTTATTCTACATTAACACCCTTTCAGAAAGTACACCTTTTCCATCAGGATTACCATTCTGAGTTGGTGTAGTTCTGTGCTATAAAGATTTACATATTCATTGTGAGTGCCATCCCAGGTGATGTTATTACTGGATTCTTACACAGATAGAAATTCAATAATTGACACATAATCCTTCATTCAAAACTCCCCTGGAGAGGGTGGGAGTAGAAATTCATGTCAAACGCTCCTACGCTAAAATTGTGACATAGAGCAAACCTCCAATATAGTGTTTGTTAATATCCTAACTGAGGGGGAAGAAAAGGAGTGGGTTCAGTTTTTTGCAAGAAAACTCTTGTTAAATAGGTTTTATTGCGATCATTTGAAGGACTGGACAGACAAAACCACTTAATGGACACGTAATAATCAAGATTTCAACAAGCCCAATGGTCCATTTAAAGAGACTCCATGAAATCTCTAAACATTTAGGTACCTGCAGGAGAAGACATCGGGGGGAATTGATCAAAACTATAGCAGACAAAATCTGGAACAGCTGTGCATGGCAACCAATCAGCTTCTCTCTTCAGTTAATATTTCAAAATGAAAGAGAGAAGCTGATTGGTTGCCATGCACATCTGCTCCAGTTTTGATAAATTCCCTTCATTAAATGTTCGCCTCTCTGGCAGCTTGTTTCTCCTACTGTACCTTCCCTCTGTTCCAGCAGTGCAGTCCCTGAAAGCCTCTTCCATTATCAATGCTTCTGGAAATGTCAGATGCCTGCGTCTCCCACCATGTGCTAGTTCCTCTCTCTGACCCTTTACATCACTGCAGAAATCCAAAGTGACATAGTGGTCAGAAGAAGGAAGAGGCAAGGGATACAAGCATCCAGCATTGTCATGCTCCATTGCTTGACCAGGGGAGATGCAAATATATGGCCTTCTATTGCAGGGACCTGATGGTTAAATCTTCGGAGAATGTGACAGGGTCGCTTAAGTAATAGCTCCCATTCACTTAAAATATACTGTTTTGTCAGACTTGAAAATACACGCAGAAGCCACAATTTTGTACTTAATGAACAGGGAAATGAAACTTGAGGTCGTAGCTCCGGGATAGCTTCCTCTGCACCATGGCATCTGGAATTAAAGCTGTCCAAGCGCTCATAAGGTCAACAGATGCCCCATTCGCTCTGGAAAGTGGGGCATACCTTCATGCAGAAGACGACTGGTCCGAGGATTTAACAGGCTTGGAATGCTATACTCGGTGGGTGGAGGCGGGGCCTTGGCACTGAAGTTGAGGGATTGGAGAAATGAAACATACACTTCTCGACAGGCAAAGATGAATATGTATTTGCAGTATGCTTCCTACACTGGTGAAGGCGAGTGCTCTTCTCAACCACAACATCCTCAATGATAATTTAGGAGCCAGATTATTCATCAGAATCTAATACAGGCTTCTTCCAACCTGAGAACAGACAGCGGTAAAAATAGCTTTGTTTGACTTTCAAGCCAAGATCAAGCATCACGCGGTGCAGATACTTACCAACAATGCTACCTCGAGGGCATATATAGAACAATAATAGAATAATAAAGACTCAATATAAAGGAGTATATGCCCTGCCCCAAAACTGGGATTTGCATTGTCTCCTCTTTTTCTTATTCCTTATTCCCGAGTGATGCAGAAACTAGGTCTGTTCATGTGCTCCTTCTTGGCCCAGGCCCACCTAGAACACTTCTGGGTGTGGGAACCTTCCTCCTCCCCCTCAGTCACCAAGGGGGCACCAGAACTCCCCTGCAATCCAGATGCTGTCAGCCAGGCTAGAATACTTTCTACTTGGCTGCAGCCAGATTTATGACTCATCCCTGATGGTTGATGTATGCCACTGCAGTGGCGTTGTCCAGCTGAATCCTGATTGGGTGACCTTCCAGTTGGTGTCCTCAGTGTTGTAACAGCAACCAGGTCACTTGTAGTTCCAGAATGTTGATTGGCAGACAAGATTCCCGTCAACCCTTAAGGCCTCATTCACACTAATAAGAGCCTGCCTGGCCATATCGGGCAGCTACCGGGAAGGTGCTGCATGTTACTGCACGCAGCAGCCTGTTCTCTATGGGAGTACGCAGCTGTACGCTCACCCAAACTGCACATCCGTGCAGATGTCTGTACTCCTATGCAGACAGGATGGATCCTGTCGGCGTCCAAGCACAAACACTTGCACGGATGTGCAGCTCGGGTAAGCGTACTCCCATAGAGAACAGGCTGCTACGTACAATCACACGCAGCACCTGTCCCTCCCGGGAGCAGCCCAATACAGCCGTGCACGCCACACGGATCTGTACGGGCCGACACTTGGTGTGAATGAG